CGCACATCCTCAAAGAATTAATAAACACATATTAAAACCATTCCTCTGAGGTCTTTCTAAGTCCTTGCACTGTTGACTGCCAGATAATCCATTTCACTTTGTGCAATTCACTTTTACTCCCATCTTTAAGTTGTGCAGTCTCTACACTTTGATGCTCTATTTTGATATCTTATTCTGGGGGTATCAAAACTCTAGTTGTGTACTGGGATATGACAGAGAAAACAAAATAAAGAATAGAGACGTGGTTTCTAGACCTTTCCCTAGACTTTCTAAGTCAGCCCTGCTGATTAAGACTTCATTGTACTCTTCTGATTTTCAGAGACCCACTTCCCTCTGACAAGGCATCACTTTGCAGTCTACCAGCAGGCTTGAGACATGACTTAGTAGAATGCTTGCTCAAGAAATGCACCAGTGGAGAGCAAAATTGTATGACAAGAGCAAGATTCAAAATACTTACAAAGCAGTAATTGAAGGTCACCAACTAATCAGAACAGATATCAAACTGAGCTATAGAACTTGCCTGACTTGGAAACCCCCTGTGTTATTCTTTTTCAAAAAATTTGTTCATTTTATTTTATGTATATTGGTGTAACAGTGTCAGAGTTTCTGCAACTGGAGTCACAGACAGTTGTGAGCCGTCATGTGGGTGCTGGGAATTGAACCCAGGTCCTCTGGAAGAGCAGTCAGTAATTGTAACCACTGAGTCATCTCACCAGTCCCCAGACTTATTTGTTAATTATATATACAGTGTTCTGTCTGCATGTATGCCTGCAGGCCAGAAGAGGGTGCCAGATGTCACTATAGATGGTTGTGAGTCACCATGTGGTTGCTTAGAATTGAACTCAGAACCTCTGGAAAAACGTTTGTGTTCCTTAACCTCTGAGTCATCTCTCCAGCCCTCCCCTGGTGTGGGAAGTCCTTCTGTATATGTGTTGCTTATATTGGTTAATAAAGAAGCTTCTTCTCCATCCCTTCATCCTCCTCCCACCTCCTTTCCTTTTGCTCTTATCTACTTTCAAGTCAAATGCATATAATACACTTACTTATCTAGATACAATCTAGGACCACAGGTGAGGGAAAATATGCAATATTTTTCTATTTTGGGTTGGACATATTTTACTTTGTGTGGCTATTTCCCAGCCAATGGCATAGCTTCGTTCTTTCATTATGCTGAATCAAACTCCATTGTGTTCATACACCACATTTTCCTTATTTGTGCACCTGCTGATGGGTTCCTGGCCTGAAGAACAACTTGGTTGTTGTGAATAGCACCGTAGGGGGTATGGCTGTGTGTGCCTCTGTGATGTGCTGACTTAGCGCCCTCTGTGTACACACCAGAACAGGAGAGCCAAGAGCACCTGGTGAATCTGCTTTCCGGCCCAGGGCGTCTCCATACTGATTTTCATAAGGTTTGGACCAATCTACATTCCCACCAGCAGTGTCCAAGGCCTCCCTTTCCCCGTGTCTTCACCATCACTTCTGGTTAGTGGAATTTCTGTTCTTTTTGCCTGCCTGCCAGCCCTCCTTCTTCCCTCCCTCCCTCTGTCCCTCTCTCTCTTCTTCTCCTCTTTTTCTTTGTGCAGGGGACCACACCATGGACCTTGTGCACTCCAGTATGGCCTTCTACCACTGAGCCGCGCCTTCAGCCCTGTTGTTTGTTTTCTTTATGTCAGCCATCCTGGCAGGAGTGAGATGGAATCTCAGTGTTACATTTCCACATGTTTATTCACTACATAGGCTTCAACTCTTAGTCTGACCGTATTTCTGTCTCTTTCTTTCTCATGACACAGACACATCATCAGGGGGCCTTAGACTTGAAAGATTAAAATGGCTTTTGCAAATAAGATCTTTAAAACATAATTTAATTAATTAATTAATTTTGCATCCCAACCGCAGTTTTCCCTCCCGCCTCTCCTCCCATTACCTTTCCCTACCTCCTCTCCACCACCTCCCAATCCACTCCTCCTCTGTTTCTGTTCAGAAAGGGGCAGGCCTCCCATGGCTGTCAACAAAGCATAACATATCAACTTGCATTAAGACTAAGCACCTCTTCTTGTATTAAGGCTCGGCAAGGCAACCCAGTATGAGGAATGGTTCCCAAGAGCCAGTAAAAACTTTAGAGGCAGGCCCTGCTTCCATTGTTAGGAGTCCCACAAGTAGACCAAGCTACACAGCTGTCACATATATGTAGAGGGCCTACGTCAGTCCCATGTAGGCTCCCTAGTTGTTGGTTCAGACTCTGTGAATTCCTATGATCCTGGTTAGTTGTTTCTGTGGGTTTTCTTGTGATGCCTTTGACCCCTCTGGCTTGTACAATCCTTTCTCTCTCTCTTCAGCAGGATTTCCAGAGCTCAGCCTAATGTTTAGCTGTGACTCTCTGCATCTGTTTCTGCACGAAGGCTCTCTGATGACAATTGGTATTGTCACCAATCTGGTCACAGGAGATGGCCAGTTCATGCTACGCATCCACTATTGTTAGGAGTCTTCCCTGAAGTCATCTTTGTAGATCTGTGGGAGTTTCCCTTGCGCTAGGTTTCTACCTGACCCTGAGATGCCTCCCCTTTTCAATCATCAAGTGTAAATAAGATGTTTATTCAAAGTGGAATTTAGTCTCATAGAAGAGGAGAGGAGGGAGGAGACTTTCATCTGGAAAATGATTAATATTCAGATTACCAATGAACTAAAAAATATACCATTGAAAGAACAAATGGTCCAATCATAAATGAATAAATGAACTGAATAGACATGTCTTAAAAGAAGTACAAATGGCTAACTGATACGCATTTAAAATATGCAGTATCTTTATCCACCAGGGAAATGCAAATCAAAACTCTGCTGAGATTCCTCACCCCTGTCAGGATGGTTGCCATGAAGAAAACAGGGGACAAGTGCTGGTGAGGACAGGGGTGGATAGGGTTGGGGGGAGGGGCAGGGCCATTCGCTGTAGCTGTGAAGGTAGATTACTAAAGCCATTATGGAAATCAATATAGAGGATTTACCAAGAACTAAAAATAGAAAACCATACAATCCTGTTATATTACTCCAGTACCTTTCTGAAGTAAACTGAGTCAATATGCAAAAGAGATCTATGCATGTGCATAATTATTGTTTAGCTATGTTCATTGGCCAGAATATTGAAATCAGCCTAGGCTGATCAACAAATGAATTAATAAAAAATTATGATATATATGCAGAACAATATAATTCAACCACAAAAATTAAATTATGTCATTTGCAGAAAAATATATACAAATGTAGAACACTGTGGGTGGTTCCTTTTTTCTTTTTAAAATGTTATCAAAGTATATATTTATTATAACATAACTACATTAGTCCTACATCACCACTTCCTATCCCACTCACTCCTGCTGTAGTCATCTTTCTGTCCCCAAATAGTCCTCCTTCTATGTTCACGTCACTTGTGTGTGTAGATATATATGCATGTGTAGATATGTTATAAATAGTAATATATTCTAAACTCTGAATATACCAAGCAAGCACTCTACCTGTAAATTACATACAGCCCTAATGCTGGACTCTATGTATGACAGAAAACACACAATCTCTATCTTTCTGAATCTGGCTTTTGTCCAGAGAAACAGAAAGGTTCCTCAGAGAAAAGCGTGACAACTGCATCCAGCTCCTGGAAGGAGGGAACCAAAGCCTCAACCACATAAGTCAGTGTGACAGTTAATCTTGGTCGTCAACTTGACACACCTTGCTTGGGACAGAGATGCTCAGCTGATGAATTGCCTCCCTTGGATTGGACTGTGGGGATGTGTGTGATAGATAGGTCCTTAATGGTTGATTGGCATGGGAAGCCTCTGTGGGTGGGAATACTCTCTCTAGTTGGTTTTGAAAGGCAGCTAAACACGAGCCTGGAACCTGGAATCAAGCCAGGAAGTAATTTTCCTCTGAGGCTTCTTCTTGAGTTTTTGGTTTGAGATCCTGCCTTTGATGGTGGACTGTAAGTAAGTTAAAATAAACTCTTTCCTCATGAAGTTGCTTCCCATCATGGAGTTATAGCAACAGAAAGCAAACTAGATCATCCACTCGTCTCTGGAGGAGAAAACTCATGGTTCCCACAAGTTTAAATCCAACATTGGGATTTATGTAACAGTGAGTCCTCCTGCATGACAGGCCAGCACTGGAGACAGAGTCTCTTTTGTTTCTCTGCGTACCTCAGAGTGTCATCAGCCATGGTCTTGTGAGGGATCTACTATTTGAGATTGAGCTACTCTGGGAACCTATAAGAAAGGATCAGTCACATGTCAGGGAGCCTGAGGATGCCCTGCAACAGTGTCCAAGTGGGAAGTGGACACAAGAGACAGCCATGAAGAGGAGCAGGGTCATATCTGGATGTGATTAAAAAAAAAATTAGGAAGCAGAGGAGCGGATGGTCGGCAACATGAATGAAAATTTCAAGCAGGAAACTGAGCTTTGGGGCAGGGGACCAAACAGAAATATTAGAAATGAGTTCTGATCACCAGTGAGTCATGTGTAGTCACTAGTCACCAGGGCTGCTTGAGGGCCATTCTTTCTCTGAACCACAGAGCTTCTGGGGATATTTGACTCCCCCTTGGGTACTGCAGTGGGGTCACCAGGGTTTTTGTCCACAGCAACTCGGAGTGTTATTTTGTTCCCTTTTCTTTGACAGAGGAAAAGTTTAAGACTTTCCTAAGCTGTGTCTACATTTATCAGAGCCAGAACACGATGCAGGCACAGGATACCAGACAATTCTCCTAAAGAAGCCCAATAGGCAGCTCAGGCTATTATCCTGGCTACATTAGTCTAGCAACAAGGACCAATACTGGAACCAAAATAGTTCAAGCACAATAGAACATTGTTAAAGCATTGCGATTCAATTGGGCTTGAGGATGCCAGGGGGCAGAAAGGGAATCTTGGAGTCGTATCTCCATCTGGCTCTCAGCTCTTCCTCAGCAATAACAGCTCATATGTAAGTTGCTCCACTGACTACTTCAGGGCAACCCATTCCACAGGCCAACCTCACGGGGTGAGTCACATGTTTTCCTCAGAGATGTTCACTTCCCCTCCATCAACACCTAGCAGTCATCTGGGGCAAATCCTTCACACTGAGTACTTCAGTCACATGCCATTGATGTACTCTAGTTTCCCTTCTTGGGGCCCAGTTTTCAAAGTCTCCCACTTGTCACTCATTAGTCACAGTCACGATGCCATTATCACATTAACTTTACTCTCCGTATCCCACATTTATTACCATTGTTCTGGTTTGTGGAATGAAACATATTTTGCAGGTAGGTTCTGGCTACCGAGAGAAGAGAGCTATTTCCTCTTCTTCATAAATACCACATTCCCAAGCATGCATTGTGGGAGTACAGGAGCTTTAACATCTCAGGGTTGATGTCTGCAAACGGTTGGCAGTGTGAACTAACCCTGAACTCACCATGGTGCTAAGCACCTGAGAATTGGTTATTATAAACCCCACCAATTTCTGAGAAATGTACAGTGGTTACTTCCACATCATTAGGTCTCAACTGCTTGTCTTCTTTTCCGAGAGAGGATTCTTTCTAGGTAGCTCAGGTTAGTTACAAATTCATGGTGTAGCTTATGCTGACCCTCAAACTCACAGGTGTCGTTCAGTGTCCTAAGTGCTGAGATATACAGGTGGGCACTATTATGCCCAGTCTCAGCCCACTTATCCACTCAAGTCCAAGAGTAATACGCTACTTTGATCAAAATATGCCTGGTCAGATTAAAAGCTGATGGGGTTGGGCACAACCATGGGAGTTGTAGGTTATTTAAAAAAAAAATCCTTCCAAGAAATTTAGATGCATTCACTCCTCCCAGTCTTGTCCACCTTCACAGTTAGTAACTGATTAGTTAGTTAGTTCTGTCCTGGTTAGTTAGATTTCTTTTGTTTTATTTTGTTGTCTTGTCTTTTATTTTTTATTTGACATTGCCACTGAATTTTCCTTTTGTTAGTGTTTTCTTTCATGCAAGCAAGATTAAAGCATTTAGAAACATGATTCCATCGTTCGGTACAGTTACTCTTTCCTAACTTTACAGTCTCCAGGCATTCAGAAGAACAGGTTTTATAGGAAGGCCAACAACAGACTGGAGATGTGTTTGCATGGGTGTTTTCAGAGAGACCAGCCTAATAGAGGCGTGACATGAACCTGGAAGATCATGACACCAAGCCAGGATAGCCTGTTTTAAGTTCCCTTGACTCCAGGGAGGATATAAGGGACTGTCAGCAGTTCTTGTTTGCTGAGGAGTCACCAGCTAGAAGGCATATTTTTTCAGCCTTTAAGCATACACTATGTTTTCACAGTGAGAACACATAGGCAGATATCCTGAGTTAGAAATCTGTACCCTCTAGTCTCCTGCTTGAGGAACTTATAACCAACAACCCAGATGAAGCAGGAAAGCTTTGGGCTTTAAAAGCCCAACAACACAACATGGTAGGATCCAAGTTAGAGCACACAGTGAACTATCGTTGATGGGTAGGCAAGTGTGTCTTAAAAACAGGAAATGGATTAATGTCTCCCACTGAAGCTACAAAGACAATAAGTCAACAATGAAAATCAACTCCTTGGCAGCAAGCTGAGGGACCTTGATCTCATGCTGTAGCTGCTCTTGGCAGCCAACTTCCCCTGAGATGCTCTAAGAATAAGCTTGGAGTGTTTGTGCTTGGCAAAAAGCAAATAGCAAAATGCCATGTTTTACAATTGTAACTGAAAATAGTGCTGTGTTCCCCCATGAGAAAGTCTAAACACTGAGTTATTAATCACAGCTGGTGGGGAATGCATCGGTGCCCTGTCTCACACTCAGGCCTTCTGTAACAAATGGACAGTCAGATTAGAACACAGATTCACTCCCCTGGCTGGTTAGAAACAATTGCATGTTACACCAGAATGGACAGACTATGTCGTGTGAACTGAGCCCGAAGTGTGTACTATCAAGAGGCAAGATGCAATGTGATGGTGCCCTTTGATGATGCTGTGTTAGAAAGGTAATGCAGGAAGTGCTGACCGACGAATTCTAACACATCAGGAAGAGAAATGGTGTTTCCTACCCTGAAAATGTAACCAGGAAAAGAATATTGCTTAATTTTATAATCACATATTTATCAACACAAGCAATAACAAGGAAAGAATGCTGCAGGTGAGGACAGCAGCCCCTCAGTGGGGTATAAAAGGGGATGTGGGCAGGGAGACTCCCACTTCCAAATCTTCCAACCCACCTTCTTGTAAACCAACCCAGAACCTCCACCTCTGACACCATGGTCAGCTCCTGTTGTGGCTCTGTCTGCTCTGAGGAGGGTTGTGGCCAAGGCTGCTGCCAGCCCAGCTGCTGCCAGCCCACCTGCTGCAGGCCTACCTGCTGCCAGCCCACCTGCTGCAGGCCCACCTGCTGTGTGTCCATCTGCTGCAGACCCAGCTGCTGTCAGTCTGTGTGCTGCCAGCCCACCTGTTGCCGCCCCAGCTGCTGCCGCCCCAGCTGCTGCATTTCTAGCTGCTGCAGGCCTTCCTGCTGCTGCCCCAGCTGCTGCTTGTCCAGCTGCTGCCGCCCCAGCTGCTGCAACTCCAGTTGTTGCAGTCCCAGCTGCTGTGTGTCTAGCTGCTGCTGCCCCTCCTGCTGTGTGTCCAGCTGCTGCAGGCCCCAGTGCTGCCAGTCCATTTGCTGCCAGCCCACCTGCTGTTGTCCCAGCTGCTGTGTGTCCGGTTGCTGCAGGCCCAGCTGCTGCCAGTCTGTGTGCTGCCAGCCCACCTGCTGCCGCCCCAGCTGTTGCATCTCAAGTTGTTGCCGTCCCAGCTGCTGTGTGTCCAGCTGCTGCAGGCCCACCTGTTGCCAGAGCACCTGCTGTCGCCCAGCATGCTCTAGCTGTTCTTGTTGCTGAGAATTCATACCCACAGTCTCATGTTCTTCACCAACTAACATTCTTGATGTAGACCGCCTGTGAGCTGAATCCTGCGATGCCAGCTATAAGTCCTTAATTCCAGTTGATTAGAACGCTGTTTTTGCCTACAAATATACCCTATCTCTCACTATAGTACTCTCTCTTTCTTATATGAACGCAATGTTGAATTTCGTTTAGATTCCTTGAACCTAGTATGTGACCCCCTCATGGAAGCACTTGTTCTCTGCCCTATTTCCTAAAATGGAGTCATTGCTACAACTTAAATAAATGTGGGCTTTCCAGCCATATAAGTATAAAAGTATTTTGTCTTCTTTTTCTTTCTTGTTGTTATGTGTCAGATTTTCCGTAGCCCACCTCTGAAAATGAAAAGACCACAGGACATGGTGGCATGCATGCCAGCTCCTTTCCCTCAGAAGTCTTCATTAGAAAGCATAAATATGGATGTTTAGGGCCAGTACCTAGATCCCTCCTGCAGACAGTCTCTTACAAAGACCAAGCTTTAGGCAGGAGAGTTCAAACCTCTATGCTCCTACCTGTATTTAAGGGGTTATCAGTCGGCAGCTTGCTGAATTAGGCTGTGTTCAAGGGGCTGTCCAAAGAAGTGTGTGCTCTGTTGGGTTTGGTAAAAGTAGAGCCTTAAACAGGAACTTTTGCCAAAACAATAACAACAACAAAAAGGCTCCCCAGAGGAACCTAGAAGAAACTTCCAGGGAGAAGATTACATTAGTAGAAACAAGGTATGTTTTCTATAAATGCCAAGACATTTGATTCCATTTGATAGGGAGGTTCTAGAATTTGAGCAAGACCCTTCCTTCCTTAGAGGCAAAAGATCTGGACCTTTGATGAAGAAGGACACTTAAAAGAAATTCCTCACTAGCTCAGAATTGAGAAATAGACAGTTATTTATTTAGGGGTAGACTCACAAATCAGAATCCTCTGCTGGAACGGAGATCAGAAACCGAATCCTGCAGCTGGACAAAGAGACCAGACGCATGCTCTACATCTGCATGAATAGTATAATAGGCCACGCCCCAGTGGGCGGGTAACTACTGGCTGTAGGCTTTCCCATAGCAGACTTTTGCACTGCTATTCAGTCATCACCGGCTGTGACCATGTGGCGTAGGAGAGGCGCAGGTAGTGCAGATACATGGGGAGAAGACAGCATATGTATATGAAAAGAAGTACTCCAAGAACATAGCACACAACAAATGAGCAGAGTGAGCCAACTGCATTCTATGCTCACACTAACTTAAGGATGGGGACCATAGGATAAAGGGCACCTGGATACAGCATCCTTTTATTCATCCACACACCTCCTTCTTCTAGTTACTGCAGCCCATTTAGTCGGAACACCTAGAGCAAGTTATAGTGAACATATCAGATGTCTTCTTTGATGACTCACTTACATCATAACCTGAGAGCTCTGTGCCAGTGGCTACTATATTCTTATTTAGCTACAGTGGCTATTCTTGGCCGTTTACGTTAAGAACTCAAACTAAAATTGCCAGGACTGCATAGTGGGTCATCAGTGCTAAATATACACTGTTCGTCAGGGTCCCTACATCACCATGGTGGAGCAATCAGTCACTGTGAGTCAATTTCAGGTATCCAGATGCTCCATGTTCTTTCAGACCATATTGTGATGAAGAGCAGAATATCAAGACAACCTGAGGTTAAGACAGTGAATTTATACTTCTACTGGGTCTACATGACCCAGGACTGTCTTCTCGTAACTTTATAGCATCAGGGCTCTTTTCGCATTTCATACCAGATGCTGGTAGCTCACTTCCGCCAAGATTTTATACACTGCAAGATAGCTATAACTGGGTCTGTTAAGTGGCCTTCTGGTCTTCTACTGACATCTCTTATGATGTAGTTGCTTTGTGGGGACTGTCCTAGAGAATTCTACTGACAAATGATCTGATTGATGATTGTAGGACATTTGTTTACACTGTGTGAAGATGTGTTGCTGGGATTGGTTTAATAAAGAGCGGAATGGCCAATAGCTAGGCAGGGGAGAATAGGCAGGACTTCCAGGGCAAGAAAGGAACTCAGGATGAATCTAAGCATATCAGCAAGGCACTAAGAAAGTCGGACATACTCTGTGGAGGAGAGGCAATGAGCCACGTGGCAAAATGTTGATTGATATAAATGGCTTAATTTAAGTTATAAGAGCTAGTCTGAAACAAGCCTAAGCTAGGGCCAAACTTCCATGATTAATAAGAAGTCTCCATGTCATTATTTGGGGTCTGGCAGTCCAAAGAAGGCTTTTACATTTGGTCCCCTATCTTGGGTGCCCAATGATGTTTTTCTGTTGGCTTAGTGGCTGCATATGAATCAACTGATATTTAAATTAACATCTGCAGCCCCCCCCCAACCCCCAGCCAGTGCCTTGAGGGCCTTCTAGTCCTACCACCCCAGCTCTGTTGCAGGTTTCAACCATATGTTGGTTTAAACTAAGTCTCTATTGTTTACCAACGAAGACTCAGAAGTCAGATGTATGGGTGAAAGCCTGCTACATCAGAGAAGCTAAGAAACAACCAGCTGAGCTTGCTTTTTGACTAGAGGCACACAGAGGACTGTCCTCTTTTTCAATTAACAGCTCATGGGTCTGAGAAATCTATCTGGATGGAACTTGGAGGAGGAATCATGGATTTCCATTGGTGCCACTAACCTAGAAAATTTTCTCATTCTTAAGTTCTTTCAGGATACACATATACACGTTAGAGAACATCCCACAAGATCCAATATATACACTGAAAATTGTGCACCCAACTTGATAGAACCAACACACTACTAATACAAAGTGATTGATTGGTTCAGACATAATGATAGTGGAAGATTTCAATGCGTCTTCTTCAGCCAATTGATCATCTAGACTCCTCTCTAAAAATTACCACAAAACTTTAGGGCTAACATATACTATTAGGTCAGATGGGCCCAACAGAAATCTAAAAATGTTCCATTAAACATCCTACATGTTCTCAGGACCCTGTGAAACTTTTTACAAATCTTATTTAAGACCATAAATCAACTTCTACGGAACATAAAAATTTAAATACATTCTTGTATGTTATCAGATAGAAATGGAATGAAAATAGAAATCAGCAGTAAAAAAGATTACAGAAACAATACAGACATAGAGAGATTAAATAATATATTATTTGAGTGATCAGTCATTGAATAAATCATTGAGGAAGGTGTAAAATTCCTAAAATCAAATAAAAATGAAAACACAGCCTATCAGAGCCTGTGGTCCATAGCAAAGGCAGTAAGTACTAATGTTTTAAACATGAGTGCCTATAGTTAATAACAAGGACTCTTTAAAAAATCTTTTCACAAGACAGGCCCACAAGGACAGTCATCACATTTCCTTCAATATGTGGAAAAACCATACACATGAAAATAAAAGAGGGACGTTTGGAAAGGGTAGAAATATAGTGAGAGAGATTGAGAGATGGGTATCATCAAAGTACATTATATACTGATATAGAATGCCATGATAAAATCCTTTATCTTGTTCCATTAACCTATGCTAATAAAATATAAATAGATTTGCATATACATATGTGCTGATACACATATATCTGTGGAGCCTACAGTAACAGATATTCCAAGTTTGGGTGCCCATGTCTTACAATTAGGAACATCAGGTTCTCCTTCAAAACCCACAGATTGTTGGGAGTTACACTCGACTCCTGTCCCAGTTGCCATTCCTAACTGGTTACCCATCCCATAATTATACCTATATTAATTCTCAGAACTAAATGGTTCTGCCTGGATTCTTTTGTGATCTTCTCATTCCCATTACTCCTAGGAAGCTACATTCTGCAGCCATACATCCTATAAAATGAGGGTTTCGTCAATTATCTCTACTCCGAATTTCTCCACAAAGCTGGTGACCCCCTAATTGCCCCAACCTCATCATCTTAGTAAACAGAGCATCTCTTGGGCCACCCAGAAACAAAATGAGTTTGTTGGGTTTATGGCCCTAAAAAGTAACTGTATTCTAGCATATCTACTTCTCTGTAACCTTTGATATCTTCTTTTTCTTGGTGTTTTCTACACCAGTTTCTTGTCACTACATGACTTCAAGAAAAGTTAGTGGTTTCAAGCCTGCACTCATTTAACTTACAGTGTCTGTTGGCCAGGAATCAGACAGTGTGGTTGCATTGTTGGATTCCTGGAGCTTCATAAACTTCAGTAAAGACATTGGCTGGCATTGGTGTTGAGACTATTTCAGTGCGGGTCTGTGAAATGAAGACACAAAGACACACTGAGAATGAACTTAGCCTCCATGGCTGCAGGGAGCTGAGTCTCAGTGAACTGAAGCCCTTGCCTTCACCTCCCAGCATCTATATTTTTCCTACGCTTTAGCTAGTAGATTTCCATGTCTCAAAACAAACTAATAGATACTTCCAACAGTACAATGCCAGGTACAAATTCCTGATTCATGAGGTACCACAGTTTTCCAGGTCTCCTCTAAACCAAGCTTTGCATAGGCTATGTATCCATGGGAAACTCTAAGTCAAAATTCACATAAGAGCAACAAAAGGTATTTGTAACACAGAGGAAGACCTAGGGGCTGTTTGAAAACTCTGGAGCCAGGCCAGGTATAGCCTAGCCGGGTTTCATGGCCAGTAGAGGTTGCTTGCTATCCCTCTGGTGCCAGATCGGTGGGACATTATGCCACAACTGGGGGCTCTTCTGTGGAGTCACTCTGAGGAAATCCAATTTGAAGCTCACTTCCGAGATAGCTGAGAACTCCTTCTTCCTTGACACCCCTGGGAAAGAGCCTGAGCATCTCCTAGTTTTGCTCCATGAATTTCTCCCACCTAAATTCATCAAATCTAGTGGCAGAGGATGAGCCGGCAAAAGAGAGTTTTCTGGCAAGAGGAGATGACTTTAAAACCCGTGGGGGCATTTTCTTAATTAATGGTTGAGGTGGGTGAGCCCAGCTCACTGGGTACTGCTCCTGATCCTGTGGTCCTGCATGTTGGGTCCACGGGGGTTGCATAAAGATGGGTACAGACCACCAAAGCCTAATAAACCAGAAGTAAACTTTATTCCAGGAAAAAAATTTAAATTAAAAAAAAAAACTCCATGGGACACAAAAAGCTCATCAGCTAGCTGAGACCCAGCCAGAGATGGAAAGTGTAAGGCTGTGGCAAAGGCCAGTTTCAGAACCCACCTTGTTATAGTAATGGGGGCACCAAGCAGTAGGTTTGAACAAAGGAAATTTTACGATCTCGAGGTAAAACTCAGATACAGATTGCCTTACTTTACAATCTTTATTAACAGAGTTTTTCAGTTAAACTAATGCTTATACTTAATCCATTGTCTTCCCTGGTGGTTCGGGTGGTGTTTACTGTAGCTCTGCAATCTCTCCTTCGATGTTGCCAGTTTTATGTAGCAGGGATAATGCATAATCCAGAGGTCACGTATATCCATATCCCAAAAGTTAACTCAGCTCATGTCAGTCGTTAATCACGAATGGTTGGCATGTTATTTTAGGCTAATTCTGAGTTTGCAAGAGATGCTTTGGCCTTATAAATAGAGCTATGGGTTGTAAAACAGAGTAACCCACTCTTAATAGTTAATCCTCAAGCTGCTGACAGTCTGTGTGCATTATCCTAGGCTTACAACTTTATATTTCTTTATTTCTACATTCCTATTTCTGGAATCTGCCTTTTTGTATTCTAATTCTTGGACCCTTCAGTATGGTATAAGTAAATAGGCTGAGCAAGCTCTGAGGAGAGAGTCAGTAAACAGCCCTCCTCCGTGGCTTCCTACACCAGCTCCAGCCTCAGGGTTCTGTCCTGCTTGAGTCCCTGCCCTGGCTTCTCTCAGTGACAGATGGTGCTAAGGAAGTGCAAGCTGAAACAAACCCTTTCCTTTCCAAATAGCTTTTGTTCATGGTGTTTTTCACAGCAATAGAAACCCTAACAGAGACAAACCCTAATGGAAGGCATGACTCAAAGAGCTATGATCCTCTTCTGTGGTTCCTCCTCTCGAGTGCTCACAAAACCTCCTAATGTTGGCCTTCTGGAGACTCAGACTGTAACACATAGCATTTGGTGGATACTTTGCCTAAGCACAACATGAAGTGAGGTTAACTGAGGCTACCTTTGGGGTTGTCTGTCCAAGAGAGTATAGAACATTAAACAGAAGAATTGAAATTCAGAATCCAGAATGGCATTCTGCTGCAGAGCATTCAAAAAAGTAAAACTAAACTTCGTTGTTCAAAAATGAAAACCTAGGTGACTGAATGTTGAGTAAAAGAAATGAAAAAGATTACTCCAAAAATTGGGAAAGTCACTCTGTGATGGAGGGAGAGAGATACAGTCAAGAAAGACATACGGGAACTCTACTTGATGAAGCAAAGATTCTCCACTGGGCTTTTGGTGGAGCCAAAGATACTGGCTTAATAATTATTTTCTGTGTTACACTTGAGTATTTCAAACACCTTCCACTATACCTGTGTTTTTATGATACCAAATGCAGGTATCTCTGTGGCTGCCACAGTTAGCAGAATAATGATCTGTAGAAGGCAAAAAGACAGTTCAGTTTCAACACGACCAAGTAGATGGCATTGGTTCCAACTTTGGGAGTCTGACTCTGAGTAATTTATTATAGGCATACTTAAGCATAGCACAAATTGAAAATTTTTCTGGTGAAGATTGACTCAATTTCTTGTGCACACCAAAACACACACCAATCTCTTTGAGAAACAAAGTAAGCCAAATAAAGATAGGGCGTGAATACACTGAAAATCTGTGTAAAGTATGTGTGATACCTTCCATAAAGATGTGTTTTATATATTGATTACATATAGATAGATTGACACCTTCCATACAAACAGGTTCTATATATTAACTGAGAAAAATAAGCTCAGGATAAGAGTCTTGGGGGGGATACACTGTGGTCTTGGCCACACAAGTAGCAAAAGGTCACCAAGCTACTAACCACATCTGCCCACAGCCTTCTAGGTGGATAACGGGCCATGCATCCCTTCCTTTGAAGGAACAACACCATTGTTTAACATTACAGGTTCTCCTTATCTGTGAGCACAAGACCAGATCTCTGTGTTGCCTACAACCAAATACTAACAAACAGATATAAATAAATAACATGGAAATATTTTTTTAAAAATGAAATTAAAATAACAATAGATGGACCTTATTATTAATTCACAAATTCTTCTCTAGTATATGTATCATTTTGCAAGAGGCCAACAATATTATTTAATATATATTCTGAAATATGTATGTAATTTTTACTATAAAGTAACATACATGAATCCAAAATAAAGTTAATTATTTCTCTGTTAAAAATAGCTATTGTAGCTCTATTTAGATAAAGATATTACCATGAAAAAACGGCCAGAATGAAACCTACCTACTGGCATTATATTTATCTACACATAGAATATATAGCAGGTATTTTTAGAAGAGAATGGGCTACATATTTACATAACATAAGTGATAACTGGCAAGTAAAGTCTGGTCTACTTACCTTTCAAGTCCCTGTAGTCACCATACATCAGGTTACTTACATTTTCTATTGAAACTGTCCTGGTACCTGGATGGCATGTGTAAATGCCAACTGAGTCCATTCACATTTCCCCAGTGATTATCTGAGTTCTTTCATGATGTCATCATAAAAAGACAGACAAGAAGAAAATTCTGTAACAGGGAAGTAATGGTTCCTCACCTTCTGCCATGGGTGACAAAAAAGGCATCTGTAAGCATGGTCCAGATGTTAAATCTTAATTCTACGTAAACAGATTGTGGGTAGGACTTACCCAGTACGTGGATTCATGAAGTTCCCACTTCTGAGTTTCCTCTGCCATGACTCAGTGTTCTGTCTGCAGTAATTTTTCACTGTACTTCAAGTTAGCGCAGTATCTCTTACCCTTGTGGGTCTGCGCGTGTTGGGAATAGAGTAGCTGACAGCGTACACTGTTGAAGGAACAGCGGGCTGCTGCGTCCCTCCACCCGGCTAGCTTTACCCCCGAAATAATTACACAGAAACTGTATTCTTTTAAACACTGCCTGGCCCATTAGTTCCAGCGTCTTATTGGCTAGCTCTTACATATTGACCTAACCCATTTCTAATAATCTGTGTAGTCCACGAGCTGGCTTACCAGGAAAGATCTTAACCTGCGTCTGTCTGGAGTGGGAGAATCATGGCGACTCACTGACTCAGCTTCTTTCTCCCAGCATTCTGTTCTGTCTACTCCGCCTACCTAATTTTCTGTCCTATGTGGGCCAAGGCAGTTTCTTTATTAGTTAACCAATGAAAGCAACAGATAAGATACAAGACCCACCTCCATCAGTACACCAAAGGTCAAAGCTCATTGTTTGTGATTTGGGGTGATTTCTCTATTATTCACTTACCATTAATTGAAAGTTCATTATTTTGCAACCTATTTTCTTGATTGAAATAGACACAAATGCATGGACTGTGGAAAGTTAAAGGACGTGGGTCTCAAACTTCAGTTCCTGTTGAGAGAATCTGAGAAGGTTAAAAATCTTCTGAGCTCCAGGTTCCATTCCAGAACAACTGAATAGGAAGCCAAGAATTGGCTAGTTTTCCACAGTCTTCAGCGTGGCCCCACCATGTAGCCAACCATGAGAACGACTGGCTCAGGGACTGGTATTATCTACCTGTTGTCTATGCCAAAAATGCACCTTGTCTTTTTAAACTGGAGAGATGGCTCAGTGGTTAAGAGAACTGGTTGTGCTTGCGGAGGACGAGAGTTTGGCTCAAGGATCAGCCATGTAAGAGGATGCACACCTTGTCCTTAACTCCAGTTCTGAAGTCCTCTACTGGCTTCTAGATACCTTGATACATATGCATACACACACATGCATGTACAACCACACCCACAACCCCCTGCAAATATAAATAGATCTTCAAGAAAATTGAGTCATTCCACCTCCTAACAGAAGCCATGAAACAAAATATAGTCCTTAAGAAGTAATATATTCGAGCCAGACAGTTGTGGTGAGGCCTTTAATTCCAGCACTGGGAAGGCAGAGGCAGGTAGATCTCTGTGAGTTCGCAGCCAGCCTGGTTTACAAGAGCTAGTTCCAGAATAGACTCCAAAGCTACAGAATAATCCTGTCTCAAAAACCTCTCAAAAAGTAAATATATGTGTGTGTATATGTATGTATACATATACATATATATATGGACATGGGAAATGTCTTTCTTAATCTCCTTAAATTTGCATAGAAACCTCTATAATTAACAAAACACATTTTATTGATGCTTTTATTTGTACCTGTAGATCTTTTATTAAAATATTATATATAATATTCATAGTTATGACATATAATGATATCATAACATTACACATATACTACTACATATTAAAATAATATATTTTAAGTAAAATATATATATTTTAAGTCTATGTATTAATATATATATATAGAAAAAGTCCCAGTCTATTTGACTGTAAGAGATATTTACAAAAGATTACATTACTACAATCCTGACATACAGGTACAGTGAGCCATACAAAATTAGAACAAAGTGAGCAGAACAAGATGCAAAATTTCAGGTGACACCTCTCTTGGAAGAAATTGAAACAGGAAAGACGTTTAAATGGTGCCAAGAATGCACCTTGTCTTTTGAGACTGAAGAGAGGGCTCAGCAGCAGCGGACAATGAGCAAACCAGGAAAAGGAAATGATGAGATTCATCTGCCTTATAATTTAGCCAGGAAAAGAAACTTGTCTAATTTGATAATCACCTGTTTATTAACCTAAACAATAACAAAGAAAGAATGCTGCATGTGAGGACAGCAGCCCCTCAGTGGGGTATAAAAGGGGATGTGGGCAGGGAGACTCCCACTTCCAAATCTTCCAACCCACCTTCTTGTAAACCCACCCAGAACCTCCACCCTCTGACACCATGGTCAGCTCCTGTTGTGGCTCTGTCTGCTCTGAGGAGGGCTGTGGCCAAGGCTGCTGCCAGCCCAGCTGCTGCCAGACCACCTGCTGCAGGCCCACCTGCTGTGTGTCCAGCTGCTGCCGCCCATGCTGTAGCAGTTCCAGCTGTTGTGGGTCCAGCTGTTGCCGCCCCAGCTGCTGCATTTCCAGCTGCTGCAGGCCTTCCTGCTGCCGCCCCAGCTGCTGTGTGTCCAGCTGCTGCAGACCCTCTTGCTGCACCTCCAGCTGTTGCCGCCCATGCTGTAGTAGTTCCAGCTGTTGTGGATCCAGCTGCTGCTGCCCCAGCTGCTGCATTTCCAGCTGCTGCAGGCCTTCCTGCTGCCGCCCTAGCTGCTGCGTGTCCAGCTGCTGCAGACCTCAGTGCTGCATTTCCAGTTGCTGTCGCCCCACCTGCTGCCAGACCACCTGCTGCCGCCCAGCATGCTCTAGTGGTTCTTGCTGCTGAGTGCTCTCCCCCACGGTCTCCTGTTCTTCACCACACAGGATTCCTGATGTAGACCTGTATGCTGAGTCCCGAGAGGCATCTTGTATAGCCTCTACTGCAACAAGATTAATTGGGAAAACAAATGCATTGCCACACTCCTGCCTGTTTCTGTCTAAAATGAACTCACATTTCAGCATTCTCTGAACTCTGTAAAATCTTGCAATAATTTGTTCTTTGCTATATTTTTTAAAAAATCAAGCTTTCTACATCTTAAATAAAGTGAAATGTTGAAGGAACATAAATAAAATGACATTGTGTCTCCTTATTTTTCTTGCTAAAGTTGACTCAAATTTCCCCTAATGCCTGGGTAAATTGAGGCTTTACTGGATCACACAGGGAACAGTCATCCACTGGTTTTCAAACCTCATGACTAAGACTATCCTAGCATATCTACTTCTTTGCACCTTTTGATTTCTCTCCCTTCATAGGTGTTGAGAGACCAAATGAGTCTAGAATAACAATCAATGGATATACTACTCCCTGGACACAAAGAAGCTAGAACACCACATACTTATTATCTGTTTCTGTGGATCAGGAATCAGGCATAGACAGGCTTCATTGTCTGTGCCCTTGTGTGTCACACAGCACCAGGGAAGGTGTCAGCTGGCACTGGGTGCTCTTTTAGGGACATCCTGGAAGGGTCTACTTCCACCTCCACTTCTGCTATTGCTGAGAACATTTGCTTCCCTGGTAGCATTGGAATGAGAACCTCAGGATTCCCACACAACACCTGGCTTCATCGAAGGCAGTGACAGGGACAATGTGTAGGAGAGTTGGACACCAAGAGGAAAGTCACAGTCTCTGGTTGCTTCACCCTTAATTGTTGCCCTATACTGTTTGTTAGAAGAAAATTGCTCACAAGAAAGGATTCACACATATGCAGTGGAAGAACAGGAAAGAGAACTGAGGACACAGTAGGGGAACCCTGATCCCAGGTAGAATATAATACCAAGCAAAAGAGAAAAATTCTGATATTGATAGTCTATGCAATATTCACAAAATTTCTGTAAAACTAAACTACACTGCTTTCAAATATTATTGGCTGGCTAATAATGTCAAGAAAAACAAAATGAAGATCATCTAGTATCCTGAGGTAGTGATTCTTTGGGGTTGTATGGGTAGAGATGTGGTCTAGACAGATATAGCATCTTGGAGATGACTTGTCTTTTTAATTAGTCTACGCTTCCTTAAGAGCTATTGTGATGTAAATACACATGTACACTTTTCTAGTTTCCCAGCTACCCAGACCCAAATACTCACACAAAAGCTATATTAATTACAACACTGTTTGACCAATGACTCTAGCATATTCCTAGCTAGCTCTTGTCTCTTAAATTAACCCATTTCTATCAATCTGTGTACTACCACAAGGCTGTGGTCTACTGGCAAGGTTCTGGTGGGGGTCTTTCTCGTTCGGTAGCTACATGGCTTTTCCTTAACTCTGCCTACTCTCTCTATATATCTCTGTTAACTTTACCCTGCTAAACCATTGGCCAAAACAGCTTCATTCATTAACTAACGGTAATAAAACATATTCACAGCATACAGAGGAGACTCACACATCACTAGTATATGCATGCTTTCCTAAGAAAAAAGCTTATTTTCAAACAGATGAACTGAAATGATTAACTAGGTTTAGACAACAAGATTAGATTAATATATATATGTATATGTATATGTATATGTATATGTATATGTATATGTATATGTATGTGTATATATATATATATATATATATATATTGAGACAGTGTTTCTCTGTATCTTTGGAGACTGTCCTGGAACTAGCTCTTGTAATCCAGGCTCACCTCGAACTCATAGAGTTCAACCTGCCTGTGCTTCGGGAGTGCTGAGATTAAGGCCTGCACTACCCAGGTGAGCAATGAAAATATTTTACAAGCTAACAGGAATCAATCAATGTGGGAGGGCATTTTAATGATTTCAATGCATAGATCACTCTCAAGACTGATAATACTGCTTAATATATTTTCATTTGTGTATTTAATATATTCATTAGTTTATATTTGTCCATCCATTCATTATACATGCATTCATTTAATATATATTCATTAGTACTTAATGGAGCTTCATTTTTAATTATAAGGAAGTCAATTGTACTGCAAGTATGAGGCTTCCCACTGCATGCACCTATCCGTATAGATCATGAGGTTATAAGCTAGACACTGTTACTCACCTAATTATCCATTTTAGCTACAGACACGATACATTCCAGGAATTTGAATAAAGTAACATGATGCTTGACAAGATACCATCTCATCGTGGTCCGGGTTTCTGAATGACATGACACAGTTCCTGGATGCCTTTTGCAAATACAGTTGTCTCCCCTCCATTCTAAGCCCACCTACACAGTGCAAGTTCAGTCTAGGGTAGACATCACGTGGTTCCGGGGCACTGCACTGCCACCAGCTGTCAGTTCTGGTCGCTTCTATCACACTGGCATCAATTATCCATTCCAGACTACCAGAACATTTGGTAAGGTGTATACAGAGTGATTCTCTCAGCGTGGCGTTTCCTCTTTAATTACCCTATTCCCATCTATAGTGGCTTCCCACTGGGCTTCAGGCCCATTCTCAGTGCTGTGGGTCTCTTAGTCTACAGGGCTTAGAGCTCAATGTTTCCAACTCAGGGAAATTTTCTCTGTGATTTAGATGCCACTGAGTGAAATGCAACTGGTTTTGCATGTTCTCTTCTGTATGAATGCAGCTCTGTAGTGTGGAAGTTTTAGGAGAGAGATCTCAATTGTTGGGCACTGGGATAAACCATGGAATGTTACAACCTTTTGACACATATGATCTACTACAGACCTATTATATGAACTATTGTTTTGGAAAGGATAGGCAAAGACAATTTGCGACCCTTGCCAAATGAATCAGTCATGTCTCCAGCTAGCTTAGTGGCTATGATTGTTTACAAATTGTTTGACAGGAGCAATTCACTCCACTGTTTCAGTTGTGGGAGCGAGGCCTTGGCTTAGTTCTCATGTGCAGTTTTCAGTGTTGGGTTTGACCATAGACTCTTCTTGCACATGCTATACAGCGTTCTGCAACTGGGTCTTAGCCTCAGCCGCAGAGAGCTTCATTAACTTCCCTAAATCAATAGGGAAACCTCTCCTGTAAAAATCAGCTGTGTCTTTATCTTTTTACTCTTTCTATGACGTTTTAAATCTAGCAAGCATTTTACTATTGCTATGGACACGTACATGTTTCCGTCCTTCACCTTCGTCAGTGCTACAGAAAAATACCCTAAAGTAAAAGCATAAATAAATAAATAAGTAAATAAATAAAAGTGGCTAAGCATGCCAAGGAGAGTAAAGTTTGCGTGGGATTGGTCTTTAAATTATCACCAGCTAGCCTCTCGTTCTTTACCCTAAGGGAAGAAGAGAAAGTAACGTATCTCCTTCTCAGGAGCTGTAGTCCACCAGCCAGTGGGATGGGGACTGTGCAGGTTGCAGTCTTTCCTCTGACCACACAGTATACAGATGCAAACAGAAATCCTACCATCGAAACACCCGCTTCCTCTCATTGTCTTTTTATGTCAGTATTAACAGAACTCCTGAAGGGAGCAGTCCAGTCCACCATCTAACTCACGGAGGAGGAGTGTCTATAGGGTCCAGGGCCTCAACAGACGCAGTAACGTTGGGTACAAGCTAGACTAGTGCTTCACAACCTTTCTAATGCTGTGCCCCTTTAATACAGTTCCTCATGTCATCCCAACGTTAACATTATTTTTACTGCTACTTCATAACTGTAATTTTGATACCGTTAAGAACTGTAGTGTAAATCTCGGTGCTTTCTAATCGTCTTAGGCACCCTGTGAAAGGTGACCTCCACAGATTGAGAACCACCGAATTTAGAGCAAGAGGCAACGACAGCTATGCAGTAGGAGTTCCAACATCTTGAAACAGAAACAATATGGCTGGCAGGATCAGTTAAAGCCAAAAGACCGGATGGTAAAGTAATAAGGCCAAGGAGAGCAACTTAGGGACATGCATTTTATGATATAGCTCAGCTCTGCAGCCAAAACTCTCCATAGTGACATTAAAGTTTGTGTTAGAGATTTGTTTTTCATAGAAAAAAAAAAGAATAGAATCTAACTTTCTACCATCTACCTTACCACCTTGAGAGTATTCCATCTCCAGTTTTAAAAGATCTAGAAACCGAATCACAGTCTACATGGAGAGTTGTCTGGGGTCTAACCTTGTCCTTTTACCCTCCTCGGTCACGAGAAAAGATCTGCGGGAGTAATAATGGCCTGAGTACACAGTCTAGCACTGTATAGCATGAGACTGAAGGGAGGAGCAATAAGACACACAGTGTCTTGTGAAAACCCTTCCAGAAGGAACTAAATTCCATAAGAAACTTCATAGATGGATCATCTAAAACTGCCAATGAGCCCTAACACACCAGGAAAAGGAAGCTCTTTTCCATTAACCTTGAAAATTTAGCCAGGAAAAGAAACTTGCCTAATTTGATAATCACCTGTTTATTAACCTAAACAATAACAAGGAAAGAATGCTGCATGTGAGGACAGAAACCCCTCATTGGGGTATAAAAGGGGATGTGGGCGGAGAGACTCCCACTTCCAAATCTTCCAACCCACCTTCTTGTAAATCCACCCAGAACCTCCACCTCTGACACCATGGTCAGCTCCTGTTGTGGCTCTGTCTGCTCTGAGGAGGGCTGTGGCCAAGGCTGCTGCCAGCCCAGCTGCTGCCAGACCACCTGCTGCAGGCCCACCTGCTGTATGTCCAGCTGCTGCAGACCCAGCTGCTGTCAGTCTGTGTGCTGCCAGCCCACCTGTTGCCGCCCCAGCTGCTGCATTTCTAGCTGCTGCAGGCCTTCCTGCTGCCGCCCCAGCTGCTGTCGCCCTAGCTGCTGTGTGTCCAGCTGCTGCAGGCCCTCTTGCTGCACTTCCAGCTGCTGCCGCCCATGCTGTAGCAGTTCCAGCTGTTGTGGATCCAGCTGCTGCCGCCCCAGCTGCTGCATTTCCAGCTGCTGCAGGCCTTCCTGCTGCCGTCCCAGCTGCTGCATTTCTAGCTGCTGCAGGCCTTCCTGCTGCCAAACCACCTGCTGCCGCCCCACCTGCTGTGTATCCAGCTGCTGCAGACCTCAGTGCTGCATCTCCAGCTGCTGCCGCCCCACCTGTTGCCAGACCTCCTGCTGTCGCCCAACATGCTCTAGCTGTTCTTGCTGCTGAGTGCTCTCACTCACAGACTCCTGTTCTTCATCACCCACCATTCCAGATGTGAACCATGAGTCTCATGAGGCCCATTGTAAAGCCTCTGTCTTAACACATTTATTTTTACTTCCAATTACACTGTCCCTGTGTCTCTGTCAAATGAACACAGAAATGATTTTTATGAAATCTGTAAATTTATCCTTATAATTTTCTTTTTCCATTTTCAAAAACAGCTTTCTCCCATGTTTAAATAAATCTTAGTTTTGCCAGAATACAAGTGTACATATGTCTCATCTCTCCATCTTGAACTGTCATCTTCATTTGTCAATATTTCAGTTCATCTCTAACAGTGCCATGATCACAGCAGATCATTTCACATGTGTCTACTGTGTTCCCCCTGTATTCGTCTTCCATTATAGGAAGAAGATTGCATAGAGCAAACACACACATCTCCATGACCACCTCTATTGAAGAATGGTTGGTAGGAAGGATAGAGACGCCCCTGAGCACAGAGCTCAAGTAATGAAATGCATTGAGATCGTATGCTCTCCACCACTTCCTTCCAAGAGGAAGTGTGTCACTGTGATGTTCCTGAGTCCCTGGGTGTCTTGAGAGCTAATTGTCTCCTGTGATCCTCTGTTCATTGTGGTCGCTTTCAGCTTCCTCTTCGCTGGGTATGACCTTTCAAGTTCAAATTCTTCCTGAGACTATTGCCCAAGTACCTACTTCATGTCTACCACTGCTGTCCACCATATCTGAGACAGCCCCACCAGTGAAGCAGCTCAAGAATCCCATATCCCTATTCATGTGTCACCCAGCACCCACACAGAGGAACCATGAGTGACTGTGCAGTAGCAAGGCCTAATTTCAGGATTGATACTTACTGTATTGAGCTATTATTTCATGAACCTGTAGCTTTAGTCCAATATTTGTGCAAATTGTGTTATACCATCCATCTTCAGTCTTTTTGCTGATTTAAAAAAATGCCAGAAGGTTTCCATTTGGTATTTAATAACTTAACATTACAGCTTCTCGTTATGACATTTTCTTATGTATAGAAAGTAATCTCATCCTAGGTTTGCTATCTTACCTTCCCTGACACTCATTCCCTCTCTGCTCTCTTGCTGACCTTAATCATTATCCATCTCAGTCCTCTTACTTTTTCTAGTCCTTTATTTTTTTTGGGGGGGGGTAGATTTCACAAAAGTGAGGCAACATTTGAAGCTCATCTTCCTGAGGCTTACTTGTCTGTCTGATGTTCTTCCCTGCAAATAACAGGATTTCATTCTTCTTGGTGGGTGAATAATTCTCCATTGTGTGTGTAAATCACATTTCCATCACTGATTCATCTGCAGATACACACCGAGCTGATTTTAGTTCTTGACTATTATAAATAGCCACCCCATAAACATCGGCACATTGACATCTCTATTGTATATTGCTTTCCATCTCTTTCTGTGCGCATCCAGCAGTACTATGGCTAGATCATTTGGGAGTTCTACTTTAGATTTTGAGAAAACTCTGCACTGATTTCCACGTGTGCCAGTTTTCACTCCCACTTGCAGTGTATATAAGGGTCCAACTCCTTTGCATCCACCATACCATTTCTTCTTGTTTCTATAATGGTAGTTATTCTGGCTAGGTTGAGGTGGAATTTCAATGTGGTATGAATTAATTCCCATCATGGTTAAAAATATACAACCATTGTCCACGTGTTTAGTGATCCTTTATATATTTTCTCTTGGAAAGTACCTGTTTGAGAAAAATGTAGAGCTCAATAAAAATCGATAAACATATATTATGTGAAAAATTTTAATAAAAAACTTGAAAACCAAAAAAGAAAGCATCTGTTTGTATCACTTATTTGCTTATTGATTGGGTCTTTTGGTGTTTAAATTCTTAGGTCTTGGAGCTGGAGAGATGGCTTAGTGATTAAGAGCAATGGCTGTTCTTCCAGAGGACCTGGGTTTAATTCTCTTAATACTGAAGAAAAAAGACGAAAGAACATATTGAAACTGAGAAGGTATACCATGTTCAGGAATAGGCAGAGTTCTGAGAAAATAGCCATACCGTCAATGTCTAGCTAAATTGTCAATGCAATTCCTACACAGATCCAATGACATCATTCATGGAACTAAAAAAATCCTAAATTTCATGTGAAAGCACAAAACACTAGGAATAGTCAGTACAATCTTAAACAAGAGAAGCAGCATTGTTTATTTTTGAAACCAACATATCCATGGTTAAAAAAAAAACAAAGACCCAAAACAAAAACAAACCAACAAACAAACAAAACAAAAAAACAAAAAAAAACTCCCTTTCATCCTAAAAGATGTTGTGTTGGGGGTTATGGGCCAAAGCTTTCAGTACATATGGTTGAGAGGCAGACACCTCCAGGTGAATGGGATCTATGCTAAGCCCAATCACCCGAGAAAGAAGACAGGTGAACATTGTGAATCACCTGTATTACGTATTAACACTAGCTCAAGGATGTGTGACCTGAATAGAGTACCCTACCACCTACTTCACACATCTATTGCTTTTATTCTGTGCTCACCAACTCATTAGATAAAATTGCTACAGGAAGTTATCTTAGGAGTATTGATTAACAAGTACCTGCTGTATATGCAGCTTACCTTGTAGAGCTACCAAGGTTCCAACCTGAGCGTTCTGAGGGATTGGTCACTATGTCCTTATTGGACTGTAGCTGTTGTATTTCTCCACTGACAGTTAAAATTACAACTATAAACACTAGAACTAAAATCTGAAGTAGATCATCTAAAATTTCATTTATTCCTCCCTTTATGAATATACCCATTTCAGCACACCTGTTCCTCTGTAGAATTTTATCCCTTCCTCCCCTTTCTATGACCTATATGGGATCAGATAAATATGGATTAGTAACCTATATCTCTGTTATATTTCTTCCTCAAAATGTATCAACAAAACCACCACACATTCATTATCTCACAGTTTCTGTGTACCGTGAATGAGGTGCAACCAGTCTTCCTCGTGTGTTTCAGGGTTTCACTGAAGATATCAGCTGGCACTGGGGTCAGCAGTGAGGAGACAACCCAGAAGAGTCTGATTCTGTGATCACTTCTGTGGTGGCTGAGAATATCTGATCCTTTGAAGCTGCTGAAGTGTGAGAGTCAGCACTTGCCTGGGGTTGAGGTCAGGCTGTTCTCAGTTTGTTGTCCCACAAATCTCTCCCATTTAGTGTGAATTCATCAAAAAGCCAATGATGGCGGAAGAACCTGTGTGACAGAGCTGTCAAAGAGGAAAGCCACAATATTCTATCACTTCACCACTGAGTGTTGTCATAAGCTGTTGCTTAGAGGTAAGCGAATTGAGGACGAGGAATTACATACTAGAATTGATTACTAGAAAAATGATAACAACTGGTGGCCAAGTTCAAGGTTGCCTGCCCTAGCTAGTATAGTGTACTTATCAGAGGAGTACAAATATACATGTATAGTCAATTTGTCATTATACAACATCCACTAACTTGCTAAGTAGTTAAACTGCCTTTGTCCAAGATATGCACCGAGGTAGCATCATGGCTAAGTATGACTGACTTGGGGACCACCCCCAGTAGGACCAGGAAATGCAAAAAAATCCACAAATACAGCAATGACTTAGGAAAAGTTCTTATCTACCTAAAGGTTAGGCCTTTTCTATCAGAGAGGAGAAATAAGAAAACACAAACACTTTCTGATGGCAACTTTCTCTTTACCTCATTTTGAAAAATTCTCTATGAAAAGTCTTTCTTCACAGCTTCCTAACTAGCTCTTCATCCCTTCTCATTCTCCACTCTGCACCCTCTCTAGTTCACTTTCTGCTTCCTCCACATCGCTACACCCTTCCTACCCCTCCTTTTTCCCTCCTCTCTCTCTCTCTCTCTCTCTCTCTCTCTCTCTCTCTCTCTCTCTCTCTCTCTCTCTCTCCCCACTGTTGCTGCTCTTCTCTTCACTGCTTCTCCCTCAACCAAACTCAGAACAATTATAAGTTACATTTTTCAAAGTCAGACCCATTCTCATAACACAAGGTAATTCACATAGTTTCTCCTAGGTTATGAATGTCACAGTGACCCATGCATGTAGCTCTAACAGGGAATCATGCATCTGGTGGGTGGACCTGTTAAACACTAATTCCCACTGCTGTACATTCCCACGGCCCCCTGCAGCTAAGAGAAGTTATTTAAAAGTAATCGAGAATTCATATTAGTAACATTCCCCTCCAAGGTCAAAGGATAAACATGGTGTTGTAGGGAGATCACTTGTTTCCTGGCCTTCTGAAAACAAGGCCTCCTGGCTCAGACCCGAAATAATCACACAGAAACTGTATTAATTAAATCCCTGTTTGGCCCATTAGCTCTAGCTTCTTATTTACTAGCTCTTACATCTTAATTTAACCCATCTCCATTAATCTGTGCATCACCATGAGGTCCTGGCCTACCAGCAAACTTTCAGGGCATCTATCTCCAGCGGCAGCTCCATGGCTTCTCTCTGACTCTGCCTCCTTTCTCCCAGGATTCAGTTTTTTTTTCCCTGCCTAGCTCTGTTCTACCCTATCAAGCCAAGCCAGTTTCTTTATTAACCAATGGTATGCACAGCATACAGAGGGGAATCCCACATCAACGCAGTCAAGAAAAGACATGTAGGAGCCAGTATTCTAGACATAGTCATTTCAAACCAAGATTGATTCTCTGTTGTTCCATTCTGAGGACTGATGTCATTCATGTCCTGTGAGTATTAAAGTGACCTAAAATAATAACAAGGAGTATTGCTTTTCAGTCTACACTGCTTAAAGACTAGTGGTTCAAAACTACAGACAATTTTTATCACATATAAAATAAACATTGAAATGTTGTTGTTGATGATGATGATGCTGTTATTTGCCATGTAGACAATTTAGTGAGGTGATCTCAGATTTCACTGCTCATTGGGATAATACGAGGAGCATCATAAAATATGGACACCATGTCCAAGCCCATGGCTATTAAATAAAGAACCTTCTACAATGGAGCAAGACACTGTTACTGGGTCTCCCCCCCCCCAGGGGGAGGGGTTCATTTTTCAGCCACTATGGCCTTCTGCTAGGTGAAGGTTTGTGATTCTGTGTACATTGATCTGTAGTGAATTTGCTTTTTTCTTTACTTTTTTCTCTTTTTCTTTCTTTTTTTTAGCTTTGGGGAAAGGACTTTCTTAATCCTCTTAAACAGAAATAAAAATTTTCTTACTGATAACCACAGTCTTTATCCAATACTTTTGTTTCCTCCTTGGCCCACCTTAGGTGACTCAAACAAGTAACTGCAACAAACCTCCTGCGTGTATCACTGTTTAAACTACATATAACCTAATTTACAGCTACAAGTCAATGAAGACACAAGTAAATCAAATGTTTGCTAAGCAAGTAAGTGTGATAAAAATCCTGCAATGTGCTTGGTCACTAAGTGGTCCTAATTAAGACATTTGATGATGTCATCACATAGCTACAGCAAGTCTCTGCCTGTTTCTATACCAGCAGACCATGAATAATGGACTGGTAGTCTTCCTCATTTTTAGAAACCCCAATCAGGTGGCTGCTTGGATGGGATTTTTGCACCCCTTAAGCCGTTAGTGTTTCCCCACTATAAATAAATATAAATTGAAATCCTTTCATGTAGATATCCACTTTTTAAAAGTACTCAATCTTTTTACATTTTTTCAAAAGAGGACATGAGGGTTGAAGTCTAACCCACTTACCTGAGTAGAGGCACAGGTGAGGCATCTCAGGGGTGAGGACCTCCACAGACACAGACAGTCCAGGGCCAAAAGACCAAGAGGCAGGAAGTTGCTCATCTAACTGAAGTTCTGAAGCACATGTGAGAAAAGCAAGAGCCTGGGTCAGGAGTTCCTACTAAAGAAAGAAGGACAGGCTACCAGACACGGAAGGTAAAGAAACCTCCACGGTAGAATGAAAACAGGTAGACTTTGAGGTATAGTTGAGCTAAAGCCCATCCCCCTTAAGATGTACTAAAACTCAGAGTTTTGTTTCTGAAAAGGAAAATCATTCAACTTTCTACCTAAGATTGTTTTATGTTTCTCATTAAAAAATAATCTAGGAAATGAACCATGCACTACTTGGGCTAGGAGATATGGTTTAATAGGCTTCCTATTCTCATACCATTGGGATTTTTTTTTGTGTGTGTGTGTGTGTGTGTGTGTGGTCAAACCTTCTGGGCCAACCTGACCCATTATAGATGAATCATCAGTATAATAATGTTTTATCCTCGTGGGTCACCAGAAACAATTATGAGTCTTTAATAGCAATGGTTATCTAAGGGTAGGCACTAGAGCCATCTGCCATGACACTGAACCATACAGTGCCTAGATACACAATGCCATGTGACATTTGTTTGGAAGAAACTAAAGCGAGAAAGATACATAGGAAATGGTTCAGCCAAAGCTGATGATGAATCGTAATACCAAGAAAAGAAGCTGTGTTTTCCCTCTACCTTGATAATTTAGCCAGAAGAAGAAACTCACTTAATTTGATAATCGCCTATTTATTAACACAAATAATAACAAGGAAAGAATGCTGCATGTGAGGACAGCAGCCCCTCAGTGGGGTATAAAAGGGGATATGGCCAGGGAGACTCCCACTTCCAAATCTTCCAACCCACCTTCTTGTAAACCAACCCAGAACCTCCACCTCTGACACCATGGTCAGCTCCTGTTGTGGCTCTGTCTGCTCTGAGGAGGGCTGTGGCCAAGGCTGCTGCCAGCCCAGCTGCTGCCAGCCCATCTGCTGTAGGCCCACCTGCTGCAGGCCCACCTGCTGTGTGTCCAGCTGCTGCAGACCCAGCTGCTGTCAGTCTGTGTGCTGCCAGCCCACCTGTTGCCGCCCCAGCTGCTGCCGCCCCAGCTGCTGCATTTCTAGCTGCTGCAGGCCTTCCTGCTGTCGCCCTAGCTGCTGTGTGTCCAGCTGCTGCCGCCCCAGCTGCTGCAACTCCAGTTGCTGCCGCCCCTGCTGTAGCAGTTCCAGTTGCTGTGTGTCCAGCTGTTGCCGCCCCAGCTGCTGCAGGCCTTCCTGCTGCATTTCTAGCTGCTGCAGGCCTTCATGCTGCCAACCCAGCTGCTGTCGCCCTATCTGCTGTGTGTCCAGCTGCTGCAGGCCTCAGTGCTGCATCTCCAGCTGCTGCCGCCCTACCTGCTGCCAGACCTCCTGCTGCCGCCCAGCATGTTCTAGCTGTTCTTGCTGCTGAGCACTCTCACTCACAGACTCCTGTTCTTCATCACACAGGATTTCTGATGTAGATCACCTGTGAGCTGATCCTGAGAGGCACATTGTAAAGCCTCTGTTCCAACTGGAAATGATTTTGCCCTCCAAATGTCTGTCCTTACTCCTGCCTATTATCTTTCTCTAAAACGACCACAAATTTAAATTTTCTCTAAAATCCGTAAAGTTTGTCCTTACACCCAAAAAGAAAAATTTGTTCTTTACCATATTCTTAATGGAGACTCTCTTACGTTTTAAATAAATCAGAATTTTGCAGGTATGCAATGTGTATCATGTCTACTTATTTCTCCTCTCAGATTGTTTTCCACATCTGTCAAATTCTGAAGCACAAAGATTTCTCTGTGCAAAGCCAGCCTGTGTCAGTTCTGTCCCCTTGGCTCTCCTCTTCCTGTATAGAAAGATGTTCTTGTATAGCCCTGTAGACCTCTGTGCTTGGAACTTGCTCGTGTGTAAGAAGCAGCAGTAGATAGAAAAGGTGAAGCCCCCAGGCACAGAGTTCAAGCAGTGAGAAGGGTTGGGTGAGCAAAGCTCACTCAGTCCAGTGAATACACAGCTTTCCCTGGGTCTTCAGTGGCTCAGAGCCCTACTGAAGACATACTGAGAGACATACACATTCACATACACTAAAATCCTATAAACTAGAAGCCATACTATACATTCAAAAGACCTGTAAGGGAAGAGAAGAAAGAAAATAAATGAAAATACTGCCCAGACAGAACATTATGAGACGAGGAACCTCCAAAAAACGCTGTTGAATTTGTTCTGTGTTGGCCATCTACTTCTAGACCTGCCCTTAGGAGTGATTTTTTTCATTCAATGAGCTCAGTATTCAGTTATGGGATCCCATGTGTCACAACTCAGAGCTTATGAAACGGAGCTGTTCATAATCAAAGAGGGATAGGCCAGATAGTAGTCACGTAATTCATATGTCTAGTCCTGATGTTAATCATCCATTTTGTTTGATAGCAGGTACTCTTCAGTCAAAAGTATAAAGTAATGTCTCTTCTATTTGGTGGTTTCTTCTTTTAAAATGAATCCCATCCTTGGACTCCATTCCCTGTTGGTCTTTTCTCATCAGTGTGGGTCTGTGTTGCAATTGGACTGAGATTGGCTTATGATAATAAAGAGATATTATTATTTTATTCGACAGTGCTCCAAGTTACTGCTGAATATCACAAGTGACCCAAATGCGGGCTTAGGAAGGGACTCTCGTGTCTAGAGGTCCACTGGGATCATCTGGAGACTCGAACAAATGCTGATGCTCAGGCCAGGTAGAAGAAAACTGTCCAGGGCTTGAACCAGGAGTCAACAGTTTGGAATACTCTGTGAATTATTCTCCCCTGCAGCCAGTCATGAGAACCACTGGTTTAGAGAATGTACTCTGCCTAATTAAGGGAGGGAAGGGTCTCAATTTATTTATTTTGTGCTGTGACTTTGAGCCCCATACCTTGTGTGGTTCTGGGCAAGTCTAGTACCAAAAGACCTTTCTTTATTAAAAAGTTATTTTTTATTGAGATTATAATACAATTACATCATTCCCCCTGTCTGTGTATTGTATATATACATTCCTAAATACATAAATAAAACCTGCTCAGTCTGTAGTGTTACTTTTATGCATGTTTTCCAGAGATGACTACTTGGTATGGATATCTAATTGATATGTTCTTCCCTGGAGTAGACTCTTGCTCCTACTCTAAGTATTCCTTAGCAGCCTGTGGCTCTTTGTGTAGGGTTGAGGTCTTGTGAGCTTTCCCCATCCACATTAGCATGTTTACCGGTACCATCCTTGTTCAATTCATGTTTAAGCAGCTGGTGAGATTTTACAGGTGTAGCTTCTGACATTCCTAGGAGACAAAGTCTCACAGTAAACCTCCTGATGCTCTGGCTGTAACAATTTATCCACTCCCTCTTCAGCAATGATCCCTGAGCCTTAGGCACAGGAGTTAGTTTGTAGATGTATCAGTTGGGACTGAGCTCCACAACTCCTCTAGTAGTCAAAAAGTGTTCCTCTCCCTATTCCTGTGGAAGTAAAGGTTACTGCAGCAATCCAGGGGAACATCTCCCTCAGGACATGTAATTATTTAAACCCTTCATCTTTTCAAGATTTACAAACATGAGCCTATGAGAAGAAAGCCTGTAGACTAGGTGTGTGGTAAATAAATTAATGTCTTAAAAATAATGCAAAAGGCTTAGTCACTAAATGGTCCTAATTAAGAAATTTAATGATATTATCACACAGTTATTCCCTGTCTATCAATTCCTCTACCAACAGAGGACTGCAGAGGAACTGAAGCCTTCCTCATATTTGAGACATTAATCACGTAGCTAATTGGATGGGTGCTTTGTGTCCTTTAAGTATTTAATGTATACCAAAATGAATACCTATTATTCTCCTTTTATTTACATGTGTGATATATGCATATACACATCACATATTTGTACTTGTGATATACACATGCATATATCACATGTATAATTATGCACGCATGTGATGTATACATACACATATACACACACCACATGTGTAATTATATATGTGATATATGATGACAAAACACATGTGTATATACATATGTATGTATATGTAGTATACATATATACGTGTGTATATAAAATGAACATTAAGAGAGGAGTCTAATCTACCACTTGAAACATTAAACAGGAGAGTCCTCTACTCAGAATCCCAACTGAAAGCAGGACATTCAGGTTTAAATTAGAATAAGTGACAATACCACCTGAATATCAAATGATATTGCAAAATAAATCTTCGGGAATGGCAGGATATGAGTGCATATGTTCTGTTAAGCCAGAAAGATAGATGGTCAAAGAAGGGAAATAATCCTGTAAGCTAGAGATGAGAAACTTGAACTTTGTAAGCCCATTGAGATTTGCAACCCACTGTAGAGAGAGGCTCTATATGTGACTATTAAAGGGTTGTCTCTGGCAACTAAAAGGTAGGGGGGATAAACATCAATATTTCCCCCATTCAGTTTTCCACTTAGAAATTGGTCTAGAAGATGTAGGCATCATATGAGGAAGACCTTTCTTTGTTCATACCAACGGTCTTATGTTCACACTGTCAGTGCCCACCTGACCCATTGTGGATGAGCCATTGGTATAATAAACCTTTATCTACCTGGGACACCAGAAACAAGAATGAGTCTTTAAAAATAATGATTATCTGAACATAGACAGTGGAGCCATCCACCATGAGATTGAACCACACAGTGACTAGACACACAATGTCATGTGATAATTGTTTGGAAGAAATTAAGGCAAGAAAGATACTTAGGAAATGGTTCAGCCAGAGCTGATGATGAATTGTAATACCAGGAAAAGAAGCTGTGTTTTCCATCTACCTTGATAATTTAGCCAGGAGAAGAATCTTGCCTAATTTGATAATCACCTGTTTATTGACCTAAACAATAACAATGAAAGAATGCTGCATGTGAGGACAGCAGCCCCTCAGTGGGGTATAAAAGGGGATGTGGGCAGGGAGACTCCCACTTCCAAATCTTCCAACCCACCTTCTTGTAAATCCACCCAGAACCTCCACCTCTGACACCATGGTCAGCTCCTGTTGTGGCTCTGTCTGCTCTGAGGAGGGCTGTGGCCAAGGCTGCTGCCAGCCCAGCTGCTGCCAGACCACCTGCTGCCAGACCACCTGCTGCAGGCCCACCTGCTGTATGTCCAGCTGCTGCAGACCCAGCTGCTGTCAGTCTGTGTGCTGCCAGCCCACCTGTTGCCGCCCCAGCTGCTGCATTTCTAGCTGCTGCAGGCCTTCCTGCTGCCGTCCCAGCTGCTGCGTGCCCAGCTGTTGCAGACCCAGCTGTTGCAGACCCAGCTGTTGCAGACCCCAGTGCTGTCAGTCTGTGTGCTGCCAGCCTACCTGTTGCCGCCCCAGCTGCTGTATCTCTAGCTGCTGCAGGCCTTCCTGCTGCCGCCCCAGCTGCTGTATCTCTAGCTGCTGCAGGCCTTCCTGCTGCCGCCCCAGCTGCTGTATCTCTAGCTGCTGCAGGCCTTCCTGTTGCCGCCCCAGCTGCTGTGTGTCCAGCTGCTGCAGGCCCCAGTGCTGCATTTCCAGCTGCTGCCGCCCCATCTGTTGCCAAACTACCTGCTGCAGGACCACCTGCTGCCGCCCAGCATGCTCTAGCTGTTCTTGCTGCTGAGCTCTCTCACTCACAAGTCTCCCATTCTTCATCACCCAGCATTCCTGGCTTAGACCTCTGTGAGCTGATTCTAAGAGGCCCATTGTAAAACTTCTATTCCAGCTGATAATGATTTTAACTTCAACTATCCTTTCACTGCTGTCGTCTGAAGAGTATTTCTTTACAACGTGGAACCAAGTTTGTGCTTTCTCTGGAATCTGTAAACTCTTACCTTAACCCAATAGAAATCTTTGTTGTCTGTTATATTGTTTTAAAATAGATTTTCTTACATGTTAAATAAATAAAAAATTGCACCTTTACAAATACAAAAACGCCATGTTTCCTTGTTTTTCTTCCTTAAATGGTCGTTTCCACCTCTGAACTTCTGGTTATCTCACCTATAAGTAGCAAAGGAACCACCACAGAAAATTTCTAGTATGCCCACTCTGCTCCCTCTACCTTCTCGTCCCAGTACAGAAAGATGCTTTCATAGACCATGCGTATTAAACCCACTTCCTGATATTTTCTCTGACAAAGAGGAGAATAGTTAGGTATTCTACACAGAGCACTCGAGCAGTGGGAGGATGGCTGAGTAATTCTCTTTTCCCCTTTCCCTTGAACAAACCTGTGTCCTTTCCTGGGGGTAATTCTGTTACCCCTACCCCATCTCTGAATCTCTAAACAGTCTCCTCTAAAGACATCTGGAGGTTAACCCTCTGTTGTCACTCATCACCAAGGATCAGATTTGTCCCAGTTGGTTCCAAAAAGGGAGGGCCATAAGTGACAGATACCAAGGCATTATTAGTGTCAACAAATCTTTAAGTCACTAGGAGGTGTGCAGAAGAAGGTTGTTAGGTCAGGCTTATCTGAAGTCTCTTCTGTTTGTCCTGTAGGCAACATTTTAACATCTTAGAAATATTGCTTAGTTTCTCTTGTCACAGCTTGTACTTCTGCAGTATGTTCTCAGACTGCCCTTGATATTAAGGGGAAATGTTAGCGAACAATAGATACGAAGCTTTAAAAAATACATTTTAAAAAGTAAAGCTAATTTGAAAATGAAGTTCCTGCCTACAGATTTACAAATGTCTAGTGCCTATGAATTTTTGGAAGACTTACGTAAAACAATGGCATTAAAAAAAATCTGGCAAGAGGTAGCATCATTGCACAGAAAGGGTATATAGGAACCCCAATGTACTAACTAATTCAGCTTCTGCTTCTAAAGCAAAAATTAGACTTAGTTTAGTAGAATAATTTGATAGCACACCTAGAAGAGCACCACCAATTGGAGACCAAGTGTTTAAATCATAACTCTATGGGGATATTTCCTACTCAAATAATAGTGTTGCGTTTCAAAAGTAGAATATGAAGCTGGGTACAGAGAAACCCTCAACAATAAATATTATGAGAAAAATGTCATTCATAGTACCCCCCAAAAAAGTAGCTTCAGCATAACCAGGGTTGGGAAAGACTTCCATAATAAATGTGTGAAACCCTGAAGAAACATAATGACAACAGTATTAGAAGTTAGAAAGATTTACCAGTGATTATAGATGGGCAGAATTAATGTGAAAATGGCCACATCAGCTAAACCCATCTACAGATTCGTTGCAATAACCACAAAATATTATTGACATTCTTCATGGAAGTAAGAAATAAGAGAAACCCGAAAATTCATATGGAAACACTTTTGTAAAAGACTCTGAATAGCCAAAGCAATGTTGAACAACAGCTAAAAATAAAAACAGTATTTTTACACTATGTAATATATTAAATTATATATGTATATGCACTTATATATTATATTAACATTAAATATGTAAATAAACACACTGTGCCATTTTTATTCTCTTATTTTTATTGATATTTAGAATACTTTTCTTAAATCTTAGAGATTTTCATATAGCATGTTTTGATCATATATACCTGCCACTCCTCCCCTAGCTCCCCCTAGATCAATCTTTACCTCCCATCCCGCCCTCCCCACAACTCTGTGTCTTTTTTTGTTACTAACTATTGATTCCATTGTGCTGTCTATATATATATACATACATACATACATTCATGCATACATATATACATACCCTGGGCTATGGAGCCACCCAGGAGGCGTAGATGATCTCCTAGGAGCCCCATCTTTAAGGAAAATTGACTCTCCCTAGCTCAGAAGCCATCAGCTATCTATAGCTCTTTAGTTCAGATTTGGGGATTTGTGAACCATTTCCCACACCAAGTAAGAATTTTGGCTAGCTTTATCTACACTTTCCATGACCCTCCTCCTTTCATAACTGTCCCTTCTCCTTGAGGGGTGTGGCTAAACAGTCCACACTCACGTATTCTCTGCACTTTGACCAGTTCTAAGTTTCTGTGTTGACCAGTGCTCGCTGCACAAAGGCTCTTCTCTGATAAGAGCTGGGATCTGCCCTAATCTGGGGACAGAAAGATACCAATTTAAAGGTCAGCTTGATATTATATATATTTTTAGCAGAATAATAGTGCTGCATTCTTCGCTGGAGCTTGTGAGATCCCTAACCATGGGTTCTTGGCCACACTTGTAATATCAGGCATTGTTTCTCTGCACAGATCAGGTGCAAATCCAATCAGGAAGCAGTTGATTATATCCATTAAAATCATGCAACTATTACGCGTGTGGACAAAGCCTATCACCCTGGTCATTATTAACATTTGTAGGTGATGCCTGATGACTATTTCTCCGCAGCAGCCTGCATTACTCTTTGCAATACTATAAAAAGAAGCCAGTGGGGAGGAAGCTTCCTGATAGCAAGGAATTTGTATTGTCCATACCTTGTGGTCAATGTATATGGTAGGGACCCCAGCAATAGGGCTGTCAGTATATCTGAAGCATCGGAGAAATGTTGTGGGAAAGGCTTTATAGGCATATGGATACGTTGTTTAGGGATGCCTGGCCTGAAGTAGTCAGTGGAATGGATTGAAGGCTTGCCAATTAATGTTATGAGCTAAAAGAGTTCTGTGAGTGAGGGAATACAACCATGACATCTATTTACACAAAAGTTGCATTAAGAGTAAGTTCCAGTTACCCAAAGAACAACCCGAGAAAGGAATTCTTGTACAAATGACTTGTAGAGATGAAGGTAGTAATTTACTGAAGAAAGGATGAGAGAGTGGAAACACATGAGCTAAGATGCATTCTCCGTGAACCCTATTTCATTTGACACATGAGAATGATGCAGTATGCACGGAACCACAGTTCTTTCTCAGCTAGAGCCTGACGGTCTGGATCTTTTGCAAAGCTCTCAATTGTCATTATCTCAGTTATCATCATTGTCCATTATCTCAGTTCTCATTACTGGTGGCTACTCAGGGAAGGAGGAAAGGGCATAGAGAAGACAGATATGTCTAGAGGAAGTGACATCTTACAGTTGATGGCAATGATCCAGAGGGCAGTATATACAGTTTGAGCTACCTGTACGGTATACTCACGCGAGCTTAAGAAGGAGGAAATTTCAGGGTTAGAAGCATAACTTTGGTCCTCTGGAAGACTGGGATAATATTTTAAAAGCTCAGTCATTGTTCCATCCACAAAACATAGACACTGCCAAATGTTCATTAACAAAGGCTTCAAGAAATGAGACCGCAATACTGAAATTATCCCCTGGATTTGGACTTCAGACTGTGAGGTAGTGTAGTAGAACCCATGGCCAGAATTCATCTGCTACATATATTGTCTGTAAATGAAGTCTCTCCATACCAGTTGTGTCAACTAAAGATTCCAGGAATTCAGATCAAATACTCTAGAACCCATGTCCAATGATGTTGATTAACAAATGTCTTCAAATCCAAGAAGACAGATCTCTCCCTAGATTTACTATCAACGCATGGGAAAACACGTATCTGGTTAATGGTTTTCATTCATGGATATGATGTTGACCGAGGTTTTCTGTCCTGCCCAGTTCCTGCAATAGTTACGCCCTCAAAAATCACACAGAGGCCACATTATTATAAACTGATTGGCCCATTAGCTCAGGCTTCTTATTAACTCTCATAACTTATATTAGCCTATCCTTATCTGTGTTAGCCACGTGGCTCAGTACCTTATTCAGCAGGGCAGTCACATTTTGCTTCTTCTGTGGCTGGGACAGGACTGCTGAAGGAACTTCCTTCTTCCCAGAATTGTCCTGTTCTCATTGACCTACCTCTACTCCCTGTCCGGTTGTTCCACCTATACTTCCTGCCTGGGTACTGGACAATCAGTGTTGATTTAAAATATAATTGACAGAATACAGACCATTGTCCCACAGCAATATGACATATAGGGTTTGGTGTTTGCCTCTTGTTTAAAAATACTGTAGTACACAGAGAATGTACTGGTTTCGCTAGACTGTACTCTTCAACATAGCAGAGGTCAAGCAGCTCCTAGATTCTTTATCAGATTTACCTGGCAACCTGTACAGCTAATGAATGGTACATTAGACTCAAGAGCTTCTTGTTTCTCATATCTGACTAAAATAATGTTCTTAGAATTGTGACTCAATAGACTTCCCTTTAGAGATCTGAAGTTTGACATCCCAGTGAAATTTGTTATGAACTATATCTGAGCCTCAGGGAAAGTCAGCTTATACTGCTGTAGGTTTCACATACTCTAGGTATACCTCTGTAGCTATTTCTTCAAGAGATTAAAGGCTTTTTTGGAAAATCCCATTTCCATTCTCAAACTGCAGAATGAGAATTTGTACCTGTCCAGACTGTCACAAGAAATCACAGGTGGGCTCAGTGGTCATCCACTGTAGTGTGTCATGATCTTTCTGCTCTAATTGCAAAGAGCTCTGTAATTAAAAGGTCTTGTATATATTCTTTACTCTATAGTCTTACCATCGCCTTTATAAAGGGGAGCTATGCTGAACATCAGGTAGATTAAGAACAACTAGCCAGGAAAGGGTGAAGTTCAGAAAGTCTTTGTGTTCTCATGCCAATTACATGTTAAAGCACATTAATGAAAATTAACACTACTGAAGTAGGCAAAGTCATGCTACCAAACCAACTCTGAAACACTGGGTGTGGGCACACAGAATGTCAGGTGACAGATTATTTTAAAGGAAATGACACCTGAAAGCTCTTCGTCTTGGGCTCAGCAACGGTTCCATTGAATCCTAACACAGTAAGTAAGAAATTAAGAAACCAACTGAAACCTGCAGATACTAATGAAAAAAGTCAAGATGAGACAAAAATCCTTCTTGGAAACATAGAATGTAGGTACACAGAACTTCAGGTGACTTCTCTCTTGGAGTGCAACGACAGCTTAAATCAATTTCATATGGGCTCAATAGGCGTACCCATTAAGTCATAAAACATACTGAACCAGGAAAACTACCAATGCCTTGATCTTGAATAGGAATAGGTGAAACAAATCTTGCCTTATTTCATAATTTGTTTACAAGCAGACCATCAGGAGGTAAGAATACCCCTGCACATGAGAAAAGCAACACCTCAGCAGGGTATAAAAGCAGGCCTAGCAAGGAGGCTTCCAAACCACAGTCCAACCCATCTTCTTGCAAACCCACACAGACCCTCCAGCCTCTGAAATGATGCAGTGTTGTTGTGGCCCGTGCTGCTGCCAGACCACCTGCTGCAGGACCACCTGCTGCCGCCGCTGCTGCTTCCAACCCTGCTGTTGTGGGTCTAACTACTGCTAGACCACCTGATGGAGGAACAGCTACACTAGGGCCTCCTGATCCTGGAAAAAATGACCTTGTGCTTCATGCTCTTGGGCACCATGCCCTTTTCTTCTCTCTAAAGCCTCAAATGCTCTTCATGAAGAGACTGTCCCCATACCCAGATATGCCCTTCGAAAAACCTGTCCATCTCTTCAAAGTGAAGCTGCTTTTGATCAACAACTATGCTTTCCCGCATCCTGCCTCAACTTTCTGAATGGAACACATCCCTGACTGCTTCTCTCCACTCAAGAAATGCTTGTCTTAATTTCCAGTGTTTAGGACATATGCCTTGTTCTTGATAACTGGAGATCTTTGCCTCCTTGAATAAATGTGATGCTATGCAAACACACATTCCAATTCTCAAGGGTCTTCATTTCTCATTCATTTTGAGTTGAGTACCCTGATTGGGGAAATATATCTTCCCTCTACCATGAATACACTGACCTCAGTAGTCTGGCCAACATCAACACCCAGGTGTTTAGAATGAATACTGCCCCCAAAAGAGAGGTATATTGAAAGCCTCCATCTCCCACGGTAGAATTCTCAGTCAAGGATTAGGATTTGGAGTCTTCCTCCAGGACTGTATCTGTGGGTATGGCTTTAGGTTTCAGAGGCCTGCGACACTGTCGCTTATCTCAATTTTTCTTTGTGGTGGCTGCAGTTATATGGGTTGTGTGTCATTACTCCAGAGACAACCTGAGTCCCTGCCAAACTTATCAGCACCATGAGTTAGTATCTTCCAGTCCTTTGCCATCCTTATTCTCAATGAACCCATTCTTCTATTTGGGTCTTTGGCAGTGAGGTCTCAATTCAGCAATAGCAAAGTACTCGAGTCCCAGCTCCTCTTTGCTTATCTTGCTTTCTTATGTGATAAATGCATTTCATGAGGACCATAAACAGAATCGTGCATCAATGCCATTCTATGAACACCAAGGAAGATATAGTGGGAGGGCGGTTCAACTCATTAGGTCATGGAACTCAAGAAATGAGAATTGGAAGATCCCCAATTCATCTTCCCTTCCAATTGGATGCATTGCTGTCCCCTGCACTGTCTTCCATGGTGCTTATTGCTTTGGCTACTTGCTGTCCCACTCCCGTATGATCCTTTTGGTGTTCTTCTTTAAAGCGGGAGCACCTGCTTGCCTTCCAGTCCTTCTTTTTATTTATTTATTTATTTATTTATTTATTTATTTATTTATTTAAGATTTCTGTCTCTTCCCCACCGCCGCCTCTCCTTTCCCTCCCCCTCCCCCAATCAAGTCCCCCTCCTGAAGACCCTTCTGAGGGGCGAGAGGGAACTTCCAGTCCTTCTTTACCTGCCCTTAGTCCATCCAAAGTCATTGCCCGTTCCAACAACACAGTGAACTTAATGTCCACCCTCGTTCCTGTGTCTACTTCCAAGAGTGAAATAATCCACAATGCCATAGGAAGTCCTTCTTTAGATGTGTTCCTTTTATTGCTTAATGAATAAAGAAGCTGCTTTTTTCTGTGAGAGGGCAGAATAGAGTTAGGTGGAAAAACTAAACTGAATGCTGAGAGAAAGAAGGCAGAGCCAATGGAACGCTGCCATGTACCTGCCACGAGAGACAGATGCGCCAGAAATTTGCCAGTAAACCACAAGCCACGTGGTAATATATAAAATAATGGAAATAATTTTGTTTAAGTTATTAGAGTTAGACAGAAATATGTATAGGCTATTGGCCATCAGTCTTGCAATGAATATAGTTATGTTGTTTTGAGGTTTCCATGTGGCTTTTCTATTATAGTTTTTACTCTACAGTTCAATAGAAGGAGTTGCTGGATTTCACATATATTGACTGAGAAAATTACCTTCAGGTACTCCAGTTGACACAGTGGAGAGGCTATGAGGGTGGGAAAGATTTATTTGTTTTCTGACTATCACTTTGTGTGAACTCTGATCTGCTACCTATCAGCCTCCAATTGCACATGCACTATTTCCCTGGGGATGATTATAATAAAGGAGTGAAGGAATTATTACTGTATACAACACCTGAGGTCTTTTAACTTGGGAACCTGCCCTGTTGACAGCTGATGTGTCACAGGCCTAAGTACCATGGCGAGACTGGATTCCAATGGAAGGATGGGCACGTTCCAACTCGGCTCATGCCCTTGCTCGTTGACCTTCAAGATCTTGATTTCTGTTTTAAAAAATTATTTCTTTTATTTCTTGAGATTCTATTATTATTACAGAATTTCCTTTTACCTTTCCTCCCTCCAAACCCTCTCCTATATCACCCAGTTCTTCTTTTCAAATTTATGGCTTCCTTTTTTCATTATTGCTGTTACATGTATGTTGCATGTGTGTGTTGTACACACACACACGGTACACACACACATACACACATACATGAGTACAACCAACACAGTCTGTATAACATTACTTGCTTATGTTTTCAGGTCTTACTAACATAACTGCCTAAACATGAGCTAAACAAAGACAATAGTAATAGACACTTTTATTGTTTTAGTGAATAAAGGGATGCACATGAGGCCTCAATCCTCGACAAGGAGCTATGAGAAACAAAAGAATGCTGATAGTGAGGGAAATAGTCTTTCCCAGGGAAGAGCACACCAATTGGTTATCCAATACTATTAATATCTTTCAATTATACATATATGCATGCATATAGCCTGCTATAGACACACAGTTACGGTCATTCCAGTTTTGTCCATATTCGTCTGTTGTGAGGAATATAAATGTTTCTATCTATAAACATTCAAACCTCTTAGTTACATACCACTCTGCCTCTGCCACGATTTCTAACTTGCTGTGCATAAACCATTATCTCCACACTCATTCTTCTTCTTAAGTGATGCCACCTGAGCTGTGATTCTCTACAAAGTTACCATGCCTTCAACCCTAGCCAGCTAAGATCTGCAGAAACATCCCCATTATCAAGGGCCAATAACAGAGCCTGGTGCCAATGCATTCCTGTTCCAAGCCACTGGTCTTTCTGTGCTCACCTGACCTATTATGCATGAGCCATCAGTGTAAAGTACCTGTGTCTTCCAGGGTCACCAGAGCAATTACAAGAAAGTAAGCATGTGACTGCTTACAGGAAGGGAAGAGGTGCCACAGAAATGTCACTGAAACATGGGAGACCAGGACATCAAATGTCAGTTGACAGCTCTCCTGAAAGAAATTAAAAGAAAAAAAAAAAAGCCACTCAGGAGATGGTTCAGGAAGAACTGACAGTGAGCACTAACATGCTAGGAAGGATATTATCCATTCACCTTAATATTGTAACAAGGAAAAGAAACTCTCCTAATTTGATAATCACCTATTAATTAACCCAGATGATAGCAAGGAAAGAATGTTGCAGGTGAGGACAGCAGCCCCTCAGTCGGGTATAAAAGGGGATGTGGGCAGGGAGACTCCCACTTCCAAATCTTCCAACCCTCCTTCTTGTAAACCAGCCCAGAACCTCCACCTCTGACACCATGGTCAGCTCCTGTTGTGGCTCTGTCTGCTCTGAAGAGGGCTGTGGCCAAGGCTGCTGTCAGCCTACCTGCTGTAGGCCCACCTGCTGTGTGTCCAGCTGCTGCAGACCCAGCTGCTGTCAATCTGTGTGCTGCCAGCCCACCTGTTGCCGCCCCACCTGTTGCCGCCCCAGCTGCTGCCGCCCCAGCTGCTGCATTTCCAGCTGCTGCAAGCCTTCCTGCTGCCGCCCTACCTGTTGCATTTCCAGCTGCTGCAGGCCTTCCTGCTGCCGCCCTACCTGTTGCATTTCCAGCTGCTGCCGGCCTTCCTGCTGCCACCCCTGTTGCTGCCGTCCCAGTTGCTGCCGCCCCACCTGTTGCATTTCTAGCTGCTGCAGGCCTTCCTGCTGCCACACCACCTGTTGCCGCCCCACCTGCTGTGTGTCCAGCTGCTGCAGACCCCAGTGCTGCATCTCCAGCTGCTGCCGCCCCACCTGTTGCCAGACCACTTGCTGCCGCCCAGCATGCTCTAGCTGTTCTTGCTGCTGAGTGCTCTCACTCCCAGTCTCCTGTTCTTCATCACCCACCATTCGGGATGTAGACCCCCTCTGAGCTAAATCCCAAAAGACTGGGGTCTTTGATCTTGATTTAGGCTTCAAAGCGCACTTTCTCTCTTTTCTAATCAGATCTTTCTCTCACTCTCTCTTTCTCTCTCAAACAAAACAAATTCAGCTTTTCTCTCTAATCTAGCATGTTCCTCCCACTCTGATGTTTATTTTGTCTCATTTACATAAGAAAAGTATCTTTATATATTAAATAAAACTAAATTTAGACATCCTAATGCAAATGTGTCATATCTCCTTATTTCTCCGTAATTACTCTCAGTTCTCAATTTACTTTTAGCTTTTTACAAAATAACAAAAATCGCTTAGCATATTAATTTACCTGGGCCCTCAATTTCCCTGTGTGCCTGCTGCAATTAGGAAGTATTCTCTTGGAGCACCTGTTTGGTTCTCTCTATCAGAGGTTTATCTGGGCAAGAGGGTTGAACCATGGAACCCAGAGCAAATGGAGGAGGACGTTCGTAAGCACATGCTCCCATTCACACTCACTGATCATGTCTCAGTCTCGTGTTCTCAGGTGGGAATGGAAGCCAGTCCCATCCAGCTGTGTCCCGCTCACAGGTGCTCTGCACTGGCTTCCTTCCATCCTGACCACATGAAGTACCCCATCTCAGAGCCCTGTCTCCCGAGTCTCAGTGTTACTGGCCTTGTGCACATTTTCACATAGCATGGGTGGTCCCCATGTGTCCTGTGACCTCTGGATCACTTCCCGCTTAACTAGAAATCTTCTTTCATTTTTCTCTTTCATGGTTTATACTATTATTTTCTTTGTTATTCTTTATTGATTTTTCAGTTTTGTCTATTTACTGTATCTGAGCCCTAGAGAGTAGTGTCCATGGCAGTAACCCTCTAGAGGAGCCTGTGTTTAAAGGGAAGCCACCCCATGGTATGTGAGCTATGTGGGATTCACTAAAGCACAGCCAGACCCAGGGATTTTTACAAAAGAAAAATCTAATAAGGAAATTCTCTTGAACACAATGTGGCAGACAGTCATAGAAGCAGGTCAATTTCCTAGAAACTGCTAAGCCCAAATATGACATCAACGAGGCTTACCTTTTTGGATGCCAGTAGGGTCTGAAGAATGAATGTCTCTCCTGGGATCTAGGTGGCTCAACCTTTGCTCTATTGCTCAGTGCCTCTACCTTCAGCCTCCACAGTGTTGGGAGAGAAGTGCATATACAGCACAGGCCTCCTACTGATGGCTCTTTCATCCACTGAAGACAATTACCCAGAGAGCAGAAAGGAATTGCCTTCTGCCTTACATTAGGATGTGGCCCAGGCATCTTTCTTGGATTCTTTGACACACCAGAGTAGAAAGGAGGGGGTGAAGTTGGGTGTTTACAGAGCTGGGAAGTATCAGGGAAAAGTTATGGGAGAGGAACAAAGATTTTCAAAATGTATTGTATGAAAATATTTTGAAATAAACACTAAACATTTAAAAGCAGTATTGGAAAGAGAGAGAATGGGACATTTCTATAATATTAACTACACAGATGAATTGTTTGCCACTGTTTAAGGATGTGGAAAACGTAATGGTCTGTCCTGTCCCTTTAAGAGACAAGCCATGCCCACTCTATCTCCCATCCAACAAGGAAAGCTGATATTCAGCTTCCAGCCTGAGTCCCTTCCATTTCTGTTTCCCTCTCAAAGAGGAAGCTTCTGTCTCTCCCCTCTCTCTACATCTCCCCTCCCCCCATCTCTCCCTGTTTTTGTGCTCTTCCCCCTTCTCCTCTTCCCCTCCACAACCCACTACATAATTATCCAACCTCACACTGCATGGTGTTCCTATCCATCTTAGTCTCTCACTAACCACATGGCTTCCTGCCTGAGACCAGGCTGCCTTTGTGACCTGCCATGGTCTCGGAACCCACTGCCTGCTGCCTGCCACTGCTCAGAGACCTGTGGTATGGTCTCACGTCCCGATGTCCACTGCCTGACACAAGGGACCATTCCATTTTTACTTAAAACATTACCTTGGTGATGTTGTACTCAGTAGGCCCTCCTACTTCTCTCCCAGGGTCTGGATCTGGAACTGGGTATTGAATTAAGATATCTCTTTCCTTTTTCTCCCTCTCTGTCCTTCTACCTTCTTTAGCACCTTCATATTTTAAACACCTTAATTAAAACACCGTAATTATAGCTTAGAGTGAAAGTTGTCAGGAAATCTTTCATTCCTGTAGAAAAAGAAGTATGCCTTTGGTTGGAACAAACCACCATATCAACAGAACCTGGATTAATACAAAGAAGCACACATATTCCTGAATGGACTAAGGAGAAGATAACTCAGTAAATTCAATCATCTTTGGATTCCTTGGTTTGAAGTATTAGTGTATTCTAGTCATTGGAAAGGAAAACACATCTGTTATGGTATTGGTCCCTTTAAGAGACAAGCCACGCCTACTCCCTCCCCCATCTGCTGAGGCAGGCTGATCTTCAGCTTCCTGCCTGAGTTAGCTCTCTTTTTCATCTTCCTCTCGGAGAGGCAGCTTCGCTTCTGCCTCTCTCTCCCCACTTCTCTGCTTCCCCCTTCTCTGTCTCTTTCTCCCCCTCTCTCTCCCTCTCCCTCTCCTTCTCCCTCT